TTTCAAAATAATTGTTATTTTTTATTTGAGTTTATTCTAAATTAATCGTAATTTTTTTATTTTTTAAAGTAATTATTTTGATTAATTATTATATTACAAAAAATTTTAATTTTATCTTTTATCTTTTTTAAAAAATTATATAAATAAATACATGAATTATTTTTAAATCATTAACCTAGGAAAAAAATCAAAAAAATGATAATTATTCAAAAATAAAGGGAGTAGATGGCAAATGCTGTGAGTACCGCATATCTGTTCAAAGTTAAGACGCTCCAGAGCCAACCTCAAGACTTGTTATTTGGATGTTAAGACGCTCCGGAGCCAACTTCAAGACATGTTATTTGAAATTATCCCATTCGTATTGGGAAAAAGTTTGAATTCAGTTTTTCCATAAACGTCTCAGCTGGGGACCTTGAGGTCAATCTCACACTTTTGCTTTTTATCTTTTTTTTTTTTTCTTTCATTTTTTTTTCTTTTTCTCCATCGTCTGACTTCTTACCTAATTGCAGCCTGTAGATGCAATATTTGGATTGAAACTTTGGAAATAAAGTGGCACTCAGTACACATTACAGCAACCTTCTCTTTTACTTTCGGTTTCTGTGTTAAAATGTCAAATATATAGTGGTCACTGGTCAGGACGTCGTAGCCTGGAAGCCATTCCAATTATGAGGTGTATGGGAATCAGGTAAAATGACAGGTTTCTACCATTTTCACACTTTTATTAGAAATATTTATTTTAGACCGAAAATAGAAGGTATCTTTCTATTAAAATCACAAGCTTACCTAATGATTCATGTATAATTATATTTCAATTTATATTTTTTTTTCTATCGTCCATTGTTGTGAATCGCACAATATATATATATATATATTTACTAACATTCTAGTAACCGATAATCATATTGGGTCTTTGACTAATTCAAAATCGAGTCATGTCGGATCTTATTTGGGAGAACTCTCCCGTGGCTTATTTCTTCATTAATAAGACTTAAATTCGAAATCTTATTTAAAAAAAGCCGAACTCTTTACACTCAGATCAACATAGTCGATGATCTATATATATATATATATATATTTTTCAATTGTTGATTAAAGAGTTATAAATGACTCAAGTTAAACTGAATATTGATTGGAGTGTTTGAGCTTAAACTTTGGTTACATTTATTAAGTTTGAACTTAACCTCAATTTGTTTAGAAATTGAGCTCCTTTTAGCAAATAGAATAAACAAATCAAATTAAATAAATGAGTTGAACTCAAATTGAATTGATCATGAGTTACCCGACTCAATAACAATACTAATGTTGTCTCTTGTTGAATTCCTAAGCAAGAATGAGTAGAATTATTCGTTAAATTGACTTTACATTAAAACCAACTTGTAAAGACGATCATTAGGATTGGCCCAATTAAATTTGAGATCTGAATGGCCCAATTAAATTTGAGATCTGAAATTCCCATCAATCAAGGGAACAGGGACAGATCCTGAACCATGGTCATCTAAATACAGAATCAAGATTCAAACTTGTTAAAATCAAGAAAGAAGGAAAAATATTTAAAAAAAATATTTATTACTTTTTTATTTTCATTGTATATATAGAGATCTTATATATATAGAGTTATATAATAGAATATTTTTATATATAAAATTAATTAATTTAAATGTATATAATTAATTACAATGTAAATATATTGTGCTAATATTCTAAAATAAATATTGATATTCTAACAAAAGTAAACCTAGTATAGGTTTAATGTAGAGTTTAGTTGAGTTAATAACCTTTAATTAGTTTTGCAATTTTATAAATCTTGCGCTTCTCAGCTCAGTCTTGAAACCAAGATAATTTCTTAAAAAAAAAAAAAATTGACATAGCCTCTGATTCAATATATTTTATAACACACTAATTAAGAAGTTATCATTTTTAAATTTAAATTTATAGCAAAAAATTTTTAAAAACAAATTTAATAGTTAAACTGAAGTGTGTTATGCAATGTATTGAATCGTATGATATGTTAATCATTATCCTTATTAAAATAAATAGAGGACTCGTAATTTGCGGGGATCCGATCCATTAGCAGTTAAAGTGGAACCCATGAAGTTGTTTTTTTGGGTAGAAATCAGAAATGTCTGCTGAAGAACGACACACAGCCGTCGAGACAGCATAATACACATGAGAGAGACAAGATCTATACCTTTTCCAATTCTCCTCTTCGGATTAACCCGAAGGGAGACTAATGTTTTTTTGTCTAACCTAAGATCTCCATTTTCTAATTTCGCCAAATCAACGAAACAAATTACCCATGAACACTAAGAAACACTAAGAAATTCTAGCTCTATATATTGTGGCTTAATGACAATGACACTATGCTATCTACTTGGAAGAAAAAGAACTCCAATATTTTGTGGCAAAATGCTATATTATCTTCATCTGTTGTGGCGTAGGAGCTCGATACTGAAATATTGATTTTGGCAAGATATAAAATTTTATTACAGTGAATTCAATTGTTTGAAACATTATTTAGGTTGACAAGACTTAAAATATAAAGATAAATTAAGAAAATTTCATTATTAAAAACTCACTCAATAAAAAAGAATTATAAATTAAAAATTTTGATTAAAACTTGATGCATACAATGAGGAAACATGGTTATTTATAGGGAAAATCCAACTAAGATAACAAATGAAAGCAGAATACCAGTTGGGAGTTAGCCATTTTCGTGGACTTCTGTAGCTATTTTTATTGACTTGTGGCAATTTTGACAAAGATGCACCGGCCTATTATAGTTAGTGGTGCTGGAGAATAGCTTCTGCATGCTTGTTGCATTTTTCTTGTTGCATTTTTCCTGGTGCATTAATGGTGCTTTTTCCCGATGCATGCTATCACTTTTTGTTGTTATTACCATTGCATTGGCTCCGACGAGGGCTGTGGAAGGAGAGTACTTGATCGGAATAGGGAGCTATGACATGACAGGGCCGACGGCTGGGGTGAGCATGATGGGCTATGCCAATATGGATCAGATATCGGCCGGCATCCATCTCCGGTTAAGACCTAGAACTTTCATTGTGGCTGAGAGTTCTCGAGTTCCCACGTTTGCCTTTGTCAATCTTGACGCAGGAATGGCTTCACCGCTAGTCACCATTAAAGTTCTAAAAAGACTCACGTTAAGGTACCAAAAAAAAAAAAAAAAACACGAGAAGTTAATAATTTAAAGTCTGTTTGGCGGCGTCTCTAAAATGATTTTCATTTCTGTAAAAGCTAAACTTGCACTAAATGCCGTTTTTTTTTCTTTTTTTTTTTTAACACTTTAGTATAGTCCCGAACTATAAAAAAAAAACCTATTTTGTATTTTCAAGTGTCTTTAGCTTTTTAAGAGTTGTTTAAATGGTTATTTTATATAAAATCATAATTATGTAGTTTCACAAAAACTTTATTCAAACAATACTTTTACAAAAGTTACGGTTAAATCAATCATAATCTTAATTGCCCAATCTTATACTGATCTTTGCTTGGAAATTTGAAGGTTTGGAGATTAGTACACTAAAGAAAATTTGGCGATTAGTGGTACACACGCACATGCAGGGCCTGGAGGATATTTTGCAATATGCAGTGTACTCTTGTTACTTCTTTGGGATTTGTCCAACAATCTTTTGATTGCGTCAGAACTCTTTTCCTTCATTTTGATGAAGTCAGGGTTCGATACCAAGTCCTTAATACAGTCGTCTGGGGACTTTGCAAACATTCAAACTAACAATACTTATAAATTGCAGGTATCCAGATGAAGTACTGAGCACAAAGATTATTAGAGAGGGGCAATTTCAGAAGGCTGTTGAATTATTTAGTTCTGCTACTAACCAACTGACAGGAAAAATATAGCAAGAGAGGAACTAAAAGACAGTAAATTGAAGAATAAGAAGTAGAGTGACTGAAAGCTGAAATGACTTTATTGCTGAATATTGAAGCAGAACAACTTCAAGAAGAAAATATGATGAAAAGATGAGAAATTAACGCCCAGTACAAGGGATCATTCTCCTTATTTATAGACAGCAAAAAACAAAAAGAAAAACAGAAGTTTGCTGTAAATCTCCTACTACTAAGAACATGGCTTCATCAGATAACAAGAATCTGGTATGCTCCACTTTATTAGGACTTTGCTAACAAACTTATTTGACTTGGTCTTCAGCAACGAACACTTATTCCCAATATGTTGCAACTTTTGAAGAGTATGCACAACAAAGATACGAGGTATGAGACAACTGCAATTTAGAGGAGGGGAGGAGAAAGTTTTTTAACCAATTAAATTATAAAAAAATGTCCATGATACATGAGATCAATTAAGATGTAAATATGCATCATATGGTACTTTTGACATGCACTCATGCAATATGCAATGAAATATGCAGGCTGCATCCACACTCTATGGTCCTCATACATTATCAACTTATATCCAAGAACTGAAGAAACTGGCAGAAGCAATGGCTAAAGGAAAAAAAGGATAATTAGGACACCAGACCTTTCCTCTGTCCAACTCAGCCTCCTGCCTAACCCTTCCGGTGACTCACACTCCCCACCCCCCGGGCTAAAAGTTTGGTGACATGAATCAAGATGTCATGCAACCAAAGGGTGGATCATTCAAGAAGGGAGATAAACCAAGTGCTACTTTTTGGAGTGCTAACCCAAGATATGACCTATTGACAGAAAGCACTTTTGCAGTAGTAGATATATGCTTCAAGGGGAATGGTGGATTCCAGTTCATGATGACGATGCTTTGTCCTTGAAATTCAAGCGGATGGTGGATAATGTTACTTTCTATGGCTTGGCAACCCTTGAATGGGAAGTGCCGGAGGAGGCTTGCCCTGGGGTCTATAGGTTCAGGCACTTTGGCTCATCTAAGAAAAGAAGGGACTCTCCCAATAAGTACCTTACTGGTGCATCTAGTGCGTTTACTGCATCATAGAGGCAATAAGTGTCAGATGTTTGCACTAAAATAAGGTTTCTGAATATATGCATGCACCATTGAGTTATGATTTACTAAACCGTAAACCTCCTATATATATTAATATTATTATGATTAGGACATGTACGTCTAGAAATAAGATTGTCAATAAGAAACCAGCGGAGTGAAGCAAGAAGTGCGTGAATACTTCATAAATATCTTTCAAGAAGAGCAGTGGGATAGGCCAAAGCTTGATGGATTGCAGTTCAAACAGCTAGATGATGAATATAGAATCTGACTAGAAAGAGATATCTTAGCGGAAGCGGTGAAACAAGCAGTGTGGGAATGTGGAGGGGATAAGTCTCTAGGTCCAGACGGGTTCAATTTCCACCTCATTAGATCTATCTAGAGTGTGATTGAGAAAGATATTGTTGATTTTGTTCAAGAATTTTCTAGCAATGGCAAATTGGTAAGGGGGCTAAACTCTTCATTTATTGTACTAGTCCCAAAAAAAGATAATCTTGTTGACTTAAAAGACTACAGGCCCATTAGCTTGATTAATAGTCTTTACAAAATTATATCAAAAGTCCTGGCAAACAGGATTAGGAAAGTGTTATCTAAGGTGATTAGTGGTACACAATCTACATTTTTGGGAGGAAGATAGATCATTGATGGAATCCTAACTTTAAATGAAGTGGTAAAGGAGATCAAGAGCAAAAAGGTTAGCAGCTTCATTTTTAAAGTAGATTTTGAGAAGGCATATGACTGCGTGAGTTGGGATTTCTCAGATGAAATGATGGGGAGACTTGGATTTGACAAAAAATGGAGAACATGGATAGGGGAGTGTCTGCAAACTGCTTCAATATCAATTCTTGCTAATGGAAGCCCAATCGATGAATTCAAAATGGAGAGGGGGTTAAGACAAGGTGATCTAATTGCTCCGTTCCTATTCTTAATTATTGTGGAAGGCTTAAATGTGTTGATTGAATCAGCCATAAGCAAGGAACTATTCCAAGGAGTCGATATAAGCCCTTTTGGTCTAAACATATCCCATCTCCAATTTGCCGATGACACTATCATTATAGGGAAGGCAAATCTTGGAAACATTAAAGCTTTGAAAGGGATGTTGAGATGGTTTGAGCTGATTTCAGGCTTGAAAATCAACTTTGGCAAAAGTGTGATGCACTCACTTTATGTCTTTGATGAGTGAGGCAGAATGGTGGCTGCTACTCTCAATTGTAAATCAAGTTCCATCATTTTCACCTACCTTGGGATGCCAGTCGGGGACACTATGAGCCGAAGGAAAGCCTGAATTCCAATTATTGACAATTTTAATAAAAAGCTAGTAGTCTGGAAAGCAAAATGTCTGTCGATCGATGGTCAAGTTACACTACTAAGGTCCGTTCTTTCTACCCTCCCTATCTATTTTATGTCTGTTTTTAAAATCCCTAAAATTGTGCTCCATGAACTTGTGTGCTTACAAAGGAAATTTTTCTGGGGCTATATGGAGGAGAAGAGTAGGTTAGCATGGTTAAGTTGGGAGAAAATATGTAAGGGGAGAAAAGAGGGAGGCTTAGGTGTTCCAAACCTTGAGTGTAGGAACATTGCTTTATTAGGGAAGTGGTGGGACAAATTTGGGAGGGAAGGAATAGCTTATGGAAGAAAGTTATCATTGATAAGTATTATGGTGGTGGGTCAGTGTGGGATATTAAACAAGTCCAAGTTAGGAATTTACCTACCCTATGGAGAAATATTGTGGCCTTAGGT